TTACATTGGGTTCCTAGAAAAAGTGTACCTTAAGATCTGTACGAAAGGCAGAATATGTCTGTCTTCAGGACGAAGAAAAACAAACGCACCATAAACACACTAAAAGCAGACTTCTAATTTGGCCATTTTAATATTTTAAGAATGATTCTCCAACCCAGATACCTAAAACTAATCTTAACTCAGATATATATTAAATTGAGGGTTCTTGTTCAATTGTTTGAGACAGAGACCTTCTTTCACTGAAACCTTCACTTATGCCATCTCTTTTTCATGGCTGACATCTCATTTTTTGAAAAGGCTTCTTTCATCCTGTGAAGTGAAAAGCAAGTTTACCAAAGGAAAAAGCTGTCTGAACTGTTTCCTTTTCCTTTATTCTTGTCTAAACTCTGGCTGAGGAATTTGCTTCGCTTGTGTTTTGCTTAAAGAAAACGTAGGTGCTCCAATGCTAGTGATCTTCCCAGGCTGTTGCCAAGCTAACCAATTATTTATCAGGCAACACTACATTTCTGGTTAACCTGAGCAAGTAAATCATAGGGTCCAAAGCTATCTTAATACTTAATAACATGAGACACTTCAATATTCACTTGACTTTAAAAACAACAAAAGAAAAATCCAGCAAAGGGGTCCAGTTGATTCAACCATGAGGTGTCCACTTATTTAAGCAGCGCTTTTAATTTGTTGTGCAGAACTAGTGCCATTTATGTGGAACTAAAATTGGCTCCATCCCAAAAGAATCTGAAGAGGAGAATAGCTCACTTGTTAAGTTAAAGTGGTGTCTACAGAAAAACTTAGTGGGTTCGTCTTAGTTTAAACCTCACTGACTTTGAGTAACCCTTCTCAGTGAAAATATATAGTAGTGAATTAGGACCACAACCAAAGTCTTAACACTTGGTTCCAATTTATTATGGTTAGATCTGAGTTAAGCAGAGATGGGCAGTCATGAACCTGTGCCATCCTCAGTACCCAGTTTGCAGTTAAGTTATCTTTACCAAAATATGGTGGCAAAATAATAGAATTTTGGGGGATAGTGTTTCTGGTTTTAGACGGGTTTTTTTCTGAATTAAGGGAAAGCTTCTGAGAGATAACTGATAGTACAAGCAACATACTGCAAGTATCAAAAAGGGATAAGAAATAATAGCATTTTTTTTCTTCCTAGTTTTTTCCCTCAAGTGTAGGATCCACTTTTTTCAGATCAACCAAGTGTTGGTTGCAACAAGAATTGACTGACCACCTAGTTGCCTGGGCCTGACATTGTGGGCTGAGAAAGAGAGACTGGCCCAAATCACCCTGCCAGCTTTCATAGATAAGGCAGGACTAGAAATCACAGTCTCCTGGTTTATAGCCTAGTGTATTAATCACTAGACCAAATTGGCTCTCGAATAAGAAATAAATAAGATTAGAGCATGGAGTAAAAAGAAGAAAAAATATATTTAAATCTAGCTTACACCAATGCCATTCATCCTTCTTCTCCATATCTGCCTAGGGGCATTCTCCAAAAGTCAACACTTTTGAGTAATGAGATGTCCACTATAATGTCCTGACACAAGCTCCATCCCTAACATACATACATGTGATGTTGTAGCACAACTACAAAAGGGGAGATAGTGTGCTTCACAATTGAGGACACACATTTCATCTTTTATGCGTTTCCCCTTGCTTCTATACTTCTATGCATCAGTATAGATATCACTTTGTTCTATAAACCTCTCAACTCTTTCTGTTTGAGAATTTCCACCTCATCCAGCCACTATAGTGGTGTGTGATCAAAAACATCCCAACAGAACTATTTCAAAAGTTCTTGGGTGCATCTAGCTGTGTGCAGGCAAGCATTATCATGAACTAACACCACACCAGAAGTGGTGCCATAGAAAATCCCACCAAATGTGAAGATGTCAAAGGAGTACTGCTAGTGAAGTTCATGGAGTGTGGTCCGACCATCAGTTCAGAAGTCTACTGTGAAACGTTATTAAAACTCAGACAAGCCATCCATAACAAGCGTCGGGACATGCTGACTTCCGATGTGGTGTTGGTTCATGATAATGCTCGCCCACACACCGCTAGACGCACCCAAGAACGTTTGAAGCAGTTCCGTTGGGTTGTTTTTGATCACACACACCCATAGCCCAGATTTGGCGCCAAGCGACTACTACTAAGGAATTTCAAACCTTGTAAGACATTATGACAAGTGCCTCAATTTGAATGGTGATTATGTCTTTCATTGATAACCAAACAGAGGTTTATTTCCAAATTGCCCTCGTATAGAGTCGTTTTGATAATACAAGTTGAATCCATTCTTAGAATGTGAGGGTTTTTTATTCACTTACAAAAAATACTTCAGTCATATAAAGAGAATAAATGAGCACAAATTGTAGAATAAATGCATACAGAAATACAGAAATAACTGAGACTGAAAAAGTAGTGTCTGGATGAGATGGAAGTTCTCAAACAGAAAAGTAATGTAATGTNAATTTACCTGACTTCTATTATATCTTCTCTATCAACTAGTTTGTATTTATATAAACTTCACACACATTTGTTTATACAAAAATAAATCTATCCTTTACTGAGACCATATGTATTTGGAATGAAGCTTTCTATTGATCCTTTTATTGATGCTTCAAATTATATTAATGTATAGATAAGACATTCTTTATCTTCTATTTAAAAAGATATTCACATTCTGCAGATGTGGAATTTCTATTTGGGAAAATTCCCATAATTTAATTCTCATAGGCTTGCACTGTATAAAGCACAGTGGGACGCTGATTTTTAGTTGCAAACCTTTTGACAGGCATTCTTAACAATAACCTGAAGAAAAGTCAGCTGTATTCCTAATCAGAAGGGAATGAAGCCGTAGCACATATTCAACTGAGATATAACTTAATTCTGTACAGCAGAATTCCTGATTATCTAAAGACAGGCAAACTCTTAAACGCAGCAACTGAGGCTGAAAAGAGTGTCTAATTGCACAAGGAACTAGTTACACAATATGTCTTTCTTTAAAAAGGAAAATTAATCAGAGCAACAGGTCCTCAAATCAATTCCGTACCAATACTGTACACAATTGGGTACTATCCGTGTAGTGAAAATAATAGGCAGTTGAATACAGAAATAACTTGCTGAATTTATAAAGCAGCAGCCACTGCTTTTCAATCAAGATAAAAGTGGAAAAAAATCTTTATTTCATTTTTCAAAAATTTACTTGCATACACCCACCCAATGAGAAAACAAAATTGTCTATTGTCTATTTCTAGCACTATTTTTCAAAGAACATATCTAAGATACAGTATATTATACATCAGCTGAATTACCTGCTATTTATTCTCTGTCCAATTAACTTGACCTAATGAATTATTATTTTTCAAAGCAGACAAAAAAATTTCATTTGACCATCAAGACATTTCTTGGAACAATATGATATGGAATAAATTATTAGGCATTAAGTGACCACAACTAAGAAACTGCAATTTAGATATGAAGATCTATAATATGTGGAAACAGACATCTGCTAGTACAACAGAATTTTAACTGTAGACCAAATCTGCTTTATATGCTAGATCTGGAGTCATGTGAAGCAACAGAAGGCGGAAAAAAAGATCAAGTTGTATCTGTACTGGATGCAAGCTGAAGAACGTTCTGAAATTAAAGTTTATCAGGCAAAAGACACAATGGTGCAATCTGTTTTAACCCCATTATTTCAGTAACACATGTACGCTATAACAAGGAAAACATTTGCACTGCAGAAAGTATTCACTTTCAATGTATTGTAATCAAACAGAAGATAAAAATTTGTGCGCCCTTATTGAGCAATATCACAGGAACAGACAACTGTAGCAATGGGACTCTTCTGAAGAACTATCATGTACTCAGGATATTCTCTTTTTTTCGCAATATCTTAGCATATCATTTACATTTACATTTTATGTCTTCTTCTGCAGAATTTTTTGTAGACTACTCAGAGCAGAAGGTGCCGTATAATTAGAGATACAAGGTGTTATTTCTGATCGTTGTTTCTGTGTAATATATTGTTTTATTAGGAGACACCGGACATAGGCTGCCTACAGTCTTTCATTATATCATAAACAAATTGATGGAATGAAATCAACAAACATTTTCTTATTTTTTTTTCAATGTCTTCCCTGCCATCACTCTTATTTAATAGGTTGTTTATTTGTTTATTTACACAGTTACAGTATCTCTAACCTGCAGGACCCAATTTGTGTCAGTCACAGGGTCCAGAGGGGGCTAAAGAGAAGTTCCCTGAAGATGGGGTCCAGCACGAGTCCAAAAGCTTGGAAGACAAAAACTCTGATCCTGGTGACTGACCCAGATTGGATCCTGCAACATTATCTGGGACACATATACGTGCTTTCATTCGTGAGAGATATCTATAAGCTATCCGCTCCGCTCCACAAATGGACCTGAGGTGGTTTACAATCAAAAATAACAACAGCCAGTAAAATTAGCAATCTATCTGATCTCACTAAGCTAAAGTAGCCCTAGAATCTTCAACATTCATACACTCTATAGAACAGACATGTTTTCTATATTTTATGGTAGGCCAAGAGGTTAGTGGCATTCCTTATCTTAGGAGCTAAGATATTCCAAAAGGCTGAGGGGACCACTCAGAAGGACCATTGGTTGATTGCCCATCTCCCTCATTTTCCATGGGATAGTGACCCTCAACATGCTAGAGACCACACAGAACAAGTCAAATTTGGGCAGAAGAGATAGTTCAGCAGGTACCATATAAAGACAGTAGTTAACTCTCTGAACTGGAAACAATCTGTAACCAGTGCAATGGACCACTGTACAGATATAATGCTGCTAGCAAATGGCACCATGGTTGGAGCTTCTGAGTTTTCTTCAGAGGCAGCTCCATGTAGAATTGACTACAACGGTCTACACACAAAATTACTGTATCTGTTTAGTCGATTTATATTATATTACGATGCAGCCTTTGTAGCTCAAGCACCTACATGACAAAACCAACAATCATATCATAGAATACCTAATCCTCCAGCATGTGCATCAATAAGAGAGGCAGCTACAGCAATCCCCTTAGACAGACCAAGATCTTCTGCAGCTTCTGCTGTTAATCCATTTCCAACTGGACTTCCTGGAGGGAGAACTTCATTTCCTAAGCAAAAACAAGGGGGGAAAAAAAAATCAAAGGCTTACAGTGCTGAAACAAATCATAGTTCTCTATGTCCCTAGACTGGGACAACTTCTTTTTTACTAAGCAGATGTAATACTGCAGTTTATTTTAAAACATACTTATATAAGATATTAATCAGGGCAAACAAACCAGGCCACAGGAACAAGAAGTCTAGGTCAGTGTTTACAAAGTGCGGTCTGAGGATTCCTGGGAGGGTCCCTCAAGACTCGCTCAGGAGTCCGCAAAATTAAAATTATTTGCCAGCTTATGTTAAAAAATAATATAATGTATACAATATTATATTGTACATAATATTAAAATCCCAGCAAACAATTGTGAGAAGCAATAGTGGCAGTGAAAGCATCACATTTAATTTATATAACCCATATAAACAAACACTCTCTAGAGGTCCTCTATAATTTTTTAAAAGTGGAAAGTGGTCCTGAAAGAAAAAAGTTTAAGAAATACTGATTAAGTTTTTTTAAAATTAGTTTTGTAATTTTTTTTATAAAAGGATCGCCCACCGGCAGATATCATATTGAAGGTCTCTCAAATATTAATATTTATTTATTTATTTATTTATTTATTTATTGGATTTTTACCCCGCCCTTCTCCTTGCGGACTCAGGGCGGCTAACAGCCTGATAAAAACAAATACAAAAAATACCAAAATACTATCATTAAAACATAATTAAAAAGAAATATTAGATTGGCCTTTGTTATTTTAAAATTATATTTAAAACCCCGCTAAAAATTACCCCTTAGGCCAGTCCTGCTAGTTGAAATA